CCGGCTTCCTGCACCCGGTGCCACCGCCGCCCCGCCTCTCCGGGGACCGTGCACGGGGCGGGGAGCCCGGAGGAGGGAGGGGGAGGAGGAGGGGGAGGAGCCTGAGGTCAGAGAGGCCCCAGGGAGCCGGCCCCGCCCCCCTCCCCCCCTCCACACCCCCCCCCAGCTACCTGCGCCTCTGGGGCACCCTGGGGCATTTGGGGGTGGGGTGGGGTTGGGGAGGGGGGGCGATCAAGGCTTCCACACCTGCCCTGGGGGATCCCCTGAGGGGTTAAGTGGGGTAAGGATGGGTCAAGTCTTCATGATCACCCCCAGGGAGGACCCATTATTGGTTACTGCCTGAGTCATCCTCATCAGGGGGTAAATATAAAGGTTGTTTTTTTTTCTGGGGGGGCTGGGGGGGTTGGGGGGTGTGGATCTTGAATTCAAGGGGCCTTGGGGCACTGTCCCCCCCTCCCCAGCTCTTTTCGGCTCCAGGTCTCTACCTTGAGCCACAGGGTCCACCACTCCTGGCATCTCTGGTGGTCCACGGGGAGATTGTTAAACCGTCTCCCGGACTCTGCTGCCCAGGGGCTGGGGTTGGGACTCCTGAGAGTCCTTAGATCTCACGCAGCCTGGGCCAGGGTGCTGGTGGCTCACACATGTAATTCAAGGAGTGTGTATGTATGAGACGTATTAGGGCTAGAACTCTAGGGCTAGAACTCAAGAGCCTACGTGCGGTCCCTTGGCTTTTCTTTTCTCCCTACCCCACCCCCAAAGCTAGTGTTCATGCTGTTTGAGCCATAGCTCCACTCCCTGCTTTTAATTAATTAATTTTTTGATTGGTCATAGGGCCTGAACTCTGAGCCTGGGCGCTGTCCCTCAGCAGTTCTTCAGCTCAAGACCAGCGCTCTACCACTTGAGCCACAGCGCCACTTCCAGCTTTTTCTGCTCATGTGGTGCTGAGGAATGGAACCCAGGGCCTCGTGCATGCAAGGCAAGCACTCTACCACTGAGCCACCTTCCCAGCCCTATACTTGGGACTTTAAAGCCTGCTATGTGTGGGGCAGTGGAAGGGAATTAGCCAACTTGGTGAATCCACAAAGCTCCCCCCCCCACCTCCAATACCCTCAGAAGGGCAGAGCACTTGTATTGGCTTTAGTTTAGATGAGCCCCACAGATGGCCTCCTCCTTCGGGAAGCCTTCACTTAAGGGCAGAACACTTGCTTTTTTGTCTTTTGTTTTTTTAACCTCATGAAGTGGGTGCCTCCAGCCTATTTTACAGATGGAGAAACTGAGGTCCAAATGAGTCACACAGAGGTCAGCAGGGGCAGGGTAGTGAGGTTGAACTTAACCTTTACTGGGTCATTGTGACTATCACAGGGGTGTGTGTGTGTGTGTGTGTAGCCTTCTGTTGTGGGGAAGGAGTGTGCAAAGCCCAGAGAGGTGTCTGGCTCCTAAGAATTAACCAATCTGGAGTCTTCTTAGATCTTTGGTGGCCAAAAGAAGAATAGATATTATTCTATCCCTGGCCTGTTTTGTCCCCATGGTTTGGGTGGCCCCTTGACTCTGGCCTTTTCTTCTTCCCCATCCATTGTAGCTCTGATCATCTATAACCTTGCCCTGGTAGGTTGTAGACCCACTGTGTGGGGGAGGGGTGTGGAGGGGGGGGGAAGTGTCTAGACACAGGGGGTAACAGGGTTGGATCAGGAAGGGAAATGTGTAGAAATTGGGCAGTTGAAGGGATTGGGGGAGGGTGGAGTGGGTGTCCCATTTGTCCACTTAGACCAACCTTCTACAAGAAGCACCCCCCTAGGCTGAGAAAGACTTGAAACTATTGGCTCCCCTTGGTGCAAGGGTGTAGGGGTGGATGGTGTGGGGAGAAGGGAGGGGGGAGCCTAATCCCTGAGGTGAGGGATTTTGGGGGACCTCTCCATACTGGAAGAACTTGACATCAGCTATAGAAGAACTTGACATCAGCTGCTTATCCAAACCAAAAGAGAAGATCCTGGAATCTCGGGGGAGCTATGATTAACCTCCTGCAGTGAAGAGGTTAAACCTAACTTGGGGCGGTGGAATGGTTCCTTGACATCGCCCCACCTCACCCTCCCCCCCGCATCCCATGGTCTAGGTTGTTGGCATTTGTTCTTTAACCCAGGACTGGGGAGGCCTGACTCTTGAGTACTTGGGCCATTCCTCAAAAGGGATGAGGTTATCAAAACGGGGTGCGGGTGGGGAGCGAGGGCAGGCAAACAAAACAAAAGAAAACCAGGTCTCACTGTGCAGCTTGGAACCTGCCGGGGTAGCCCCAGGCTGGCCTCGAACTCGCAACCTCAATCCCCTTCTCTCATCCGACTCCATTCTCAGCGTCTTCTCCCTGGGGGCGGCTTCACCACGAGCGCGCTGATTGGAGCCTCCCAGCCAAGGGGCGGACCTTCCTCGAAGAACTCATCCTTGATTGGCTACCCGCACTCTCTCATTCTCGTCTTTGGATTGGCTGGGAGACTTCTCTTTTCGGGCATGCGCACTACGGAACCCGGGAAAAGTAAGAGGGTGTGGGGGGGGGGGGAAGTAGAGCAGGCAAGATGGCGGCTGCTCCGGCGGGTGTGGGCCGCCTCGAGGAAGAAGCGCGACGGAGAAAAGAACGGCTGAAAGCCCTACGGGAGAAAACGGGGCGTAAGGTGAGGAACGTGGAAGCGAGGGACGCTGGGCGAGGCGGTCTGCGGCTCAGGGCCGGAGGGCTGGAGATGAGAAGGGGAGGGGGGAAAAGTACATCCGCTTAAGTGCGCATGTGTACAAGGCGGAGCATGCGTAGAGCGACGGCGTGGGACTTAACTAGCGCTGGCATGGGCAGCGCGCATGCGCGCGGGTCGGCGTCGCTGTGTGTCGCGCGTTTAGTCCGCCTCTAGTTCTTTTTTGGATGCTTGTTGGAGTAGGCGAGATTCGTTCCGTTGTCTGGTTGGCCCCGCTGGTCCCTCACTGCCCACCAATCCCCCCAGGAAAAGAAGAGTTTCAGAACTTTTTTTCTTTCCTCTCTGCCAGCGTGCGTTGGGCACCTTTGCATGGGACTGATCTGAATGCACAGAATTTGTTTCCCCAGACGGCTTCTCGGGAATAGAACGGGGCAGTTAACTAATTTGTTCTGATTGTGTTTTTTCCATCAAAAAGTGGATTTAGCCAACGTAAAGTGGAGAGGAAAGGAGAATTTTCAGGTAAACACCTGTTGTGTTTACACCTTGGCCCTGTCACTTAATATGCATCATACCCCATGCCCAGACCCCCCCTCCCTGCCTCCTTCTCCCCCCCACACCTTCTCCACTTTAATGTGGAGTGGGGATTAGACTTGGTACACTCTTTCACTCCTCAACCTTCCCAACTGAGAAACGGACGTTTGTTCATCCGTCCAGTGGGGGAATAACAACTCCTACACATCCACTTTTCCTGGTTATTTTGGGGATCCAATAAAATAATAATCTGTATGAAAGGACTCTAGAGACCACAGAGGGTGGAGGTTTTGTTGATTCAGGTGCAAGAGCTGTGTCCTTCACTCTACCCAGTACAAAAATTAAACATTAAATGTCTAAGCTGGGAGCCAGTGGCTCAGGCCTGTCACCCTAGCTACTCAGAAGGCTGAGATCTGAGGATCACAGTTCAAAGCCAGCCCAGGCAGGAAAGTCCATGAGACTCTGTATCTCCAATGAACCACCACAATACCAGAAGTGGGGCTGTGGCTCAAGTGGTAGAGTGCTAGCATTGAGATGAAGAATTCAGGGACAGTGCCCAGGCCCTGAGTTCAAGGCTCACAATTGACCCCCCCTCCCCCCCC